AAGTCTGCTTGATCTGAATATCTGCATGAGCCAGGACTGCATTTGAAAAAGGTAATTGTGGTGTTGCTTGTGTCATAATTCTTTCTGAGTACAAATTCTGCTGTGGTCACTGTCAGTTTCTCTGAAAATGGAAGCTATGTTATCCTCCATACTTTCCATAGCGATTCAGGGACTACAGAGAAAAAAATTAATTAGAGTTTAAAGATGATTGAACTAAAATACACAAATTCCACCAACTGTACAAAACGTGTTGGAGAGAGAGCCTCATGGTTACACAATACATGGTAATGTGGAAACACTTCAGAGAGCCGTGTGTGGGCAGACAATGACGGCGCTAAGCCTCGAATAAAATTGTACTTTTTCATCTCTGAGAAGCAATCAAAAGTGAGGAACAGAGACTTAAAAGTAAATTTAGGCCAAAATACCTTTATCTCTATAATTTAAGCAATTTACTTTGCTTTCCCATTCTTAAAAATGATGATCTTCAAATTTGAAGAATTATTCTGTCCTGTTTAGTGTCAGTGGAGGTATATGATTGTTATCTAGCTCCTGAGTTACGTTGCAAAAATTTCAGTGAGAGGAAAGATTTGTTAACTCACCAAGCAGTGGTATTTTAACCAAGGCTTCATATCAGAGTCACGTGTGGAGCATTTGGAAATATTCATGCACAACTTCCTCATCCTGGGAGCCGATTCAGTGATTTGGGATAGGGTACAATAATCAGTATTTTTTAAAATTCCTTGGCTGACTGCTGTGAACCATCCTATCTCCAGATGAGACCACTATGGTAAAAGACTGTTTTGCCCAGACACTGATCCTAGAAATATTTCTGAAAATCAACCTGGGGGCATGTGATTATTCTTTGTTCAAATATCTACCTTTCACTTATACCCCAGTGTGTTAGTTTTCCAGGGCTACTGGAACAAATTTTCACAAACTTGGTGTCTTAAAATGACAGAAATTTATTCTCCCACAATTTTGGAGGCCAGACGTCTGAAATCAAGGTATCGACAGGGCTGTGCGCACTCTGGTGCATCTAGGAGAGAACCAGTCCGTTCCTTGCCTCTTCCCGCCTCTGGTGGTTGCCAGCATTCCTTGGCGTTTGTCCTTATCACTCCCATCTCTGTGTTCTTCTTCTCCATGTTGCCTTCTCTGCTTCTGTCTTTCTTAAATCTCCCTCTGCTTTCTTTTATAAAGACACTTGTGAGTGCATTTAGGGCCCACCCAGATAATCTTCCCATCTCAAGTTCTGTAACATATTCACAGCTTTGAAGTTTTTGCCATATAAGGTAATACTAAGACGTTCCAGAGCTGGACATCTTTTGGGGGTCTGTTATTCAGCCCTCCACAGCAGCAAAAATACTGCCCTCTTGGGGCTAGGCCACAGAGATAAGTTATTTTCCTGAGCCGTCGACTACACTTCCAATTCTAGCCATTCTCACGGCAAATACCTTTGGTCATAAGTGGACTGAGAGTGTAGGGTCAGCGAGGCAAACCCATCATCCTCCCCGACAGAGGCACTTCAAGCATGTGTCCTAGCAACAGCGGCTCTGGTTTAAGCTCATCTTTTAAGAATAGAATATTACAGTGCTGAGCATTATTTGAATATATTCTGAAATAGGCACAAGCCTTGTTACCTTTTCACACGGACCCTGATTCAGGCCAGGCACGTATGATGCTCTAAGGTTTAGTCTTAGAAATAGAGAATGTGGGTAGTTGATAGTAAACGTGGTGAGAAATGTTTCTGAGTCAAACTCTGTGAAAAACACCTGGGGACCTTGAGAGCAGTTAATTAACATGGGGCTTCATTTTCCTTACCTATGCAAGGAAGCATTTGTTCCATGATCTCTTAAGTCCCTGTTCAGCTCAGAGATCCCATTTTGTTGTTTCTTCCCTTCCCATCAGAAAGGAGAAAAGAATAGGTGTCAGTGCAGATGGATTTTAGAGAAGATGGCAAGAAACTGAAGAGGCTCGTGAATGAAGGCCCTGCGGAAGTTTGAGATGATGAATATTCAGTGGTGTTAATTTGCGGTATTGTTTAATTTTCTCTAGTAGTGCTGAGTCAGTCGCAAATGAGCTGGGGAGGCTGTAAAGCGTTATGCTGGTGGCTATGTCAGCTCTAACCCCTCCTTAACAGCTACCCCGGCCCCCTGACTTAGGGACGGGCCCCGTCCTAGCACCTCTTCTCCAGCCACATGGATCTATCCACGGGGAGGAGAAGGGATCTAGACCACACCAGTGAGAATCTTTACCTGGGTCTTTTCCTACTGGAGCTTGGAAGGAAGAACTATTTTCTCTTATTGAGAGACACAAGGGTGCGAGTAGGTGTTGGTTGTTGCAGACACATTTCTTGGAGAGAAACAAGGACTTAGGGATGTTTGGCATGGAAAGAGGAGAAAAAGAGAGTAAAATTCCTGCATCCCTGAGGCCAGCTCCATCCGTACCTTTTCATGATCTGACCACATGAACTACTAGGTCCCTTTTTCCCTTAAGGTTGCTAGAGTTTAGGTATTTGACGTTCGAAACTAAAAGAAATCTTAGCTAATACAGCGTGAGATTGGTCAAGAGTTATACAGTAGCTATTTCCAGGTACAACAGAACTACAGTGGGGCAAAGAACTTGAAAGTATTAACAGGACTGGTGGAAGTGACAGCCACAGTGCCTCAGCTGCGCAGGACAGGGAGTGGTACTGTTGGGCTGCAGATACAGGGGAATCGAGGGAATTCGGTTCTTAACTGGGCTAAGTAGATAAAAGGATAGGAAGTCGTAACAAGGGTATACACATGTTGGATGCATTTGCAAAGCATCTTCCTTTTATTAAGAAAAGTAATGGATCACCCAAAAAGCGCTGCAAAGAATCAGGAGAATTCCTTTGTAATTTTGCAATTGAAAAGAATAGGAATGACATGCACCTTTTAGATTTGGCATTTTACAAGAAGAAATCTCTTTTTTATTATACACACAGGGAGAGGACTTGACCTACAATATGGCAAGTCTGTGCAATTTGACAAGGTATTTTTATAATACATTTTTGTCATGAGATATCTGGCTGATGGAGTAGCAAGAATTTTTAAATATAGAATTTCATTTCTCTTTAAGCAAAATATCCTTGAGGTCAAACCTTTGAAAAAATTTATTCTAGGGCAGAATTGAGTGTATTAGAAAAATCTTAGATGTTTAGATATAATTTTCAACTGTCTACCTTTATGAACAGATTTTTTTTTTTGAATCTTTGCTACATCATGAATTACTTAGGGTGATACTGAGTATGATAGTATATAAGGAAGCTCTTTAATGATATCTCTCTTCAACTGCGGTTTCTCAGCCCACTGTGGCTTGTGGGTTCAAAATGGCTCATACAAGTAATAGAATCCATTTAAAAGGCATTTATTCTGCAAAACACCCTGAAATTTGAGTTAGATTTCTATTTTTTTTTGCACTTCCATAACTGTTCAGCTTTATGAGACATCAGCTATACCGTAGGTTGTAGTTCGTTAGTAAATTTGAGTTCTTCAAAAAGAATATTCAATTTATAGCATAATCTTTGTGCCTTGATGTAGCCTGTAATTTAATTTGATGTTGTATCATTTTTGTGTTTGAGGGCACACACTTTACCATGTCCTGATAAAGATAAAATGTGTTTTGATTTATTAGCTACCATAATTATTCAGTAGTTAAATTGACTAACACAGCCACACTGGAGAATTCCCTCAGTCTGTCAAGATACTGACTAAGGATACAAATATTGAATCTTAAATAATATAAAATCTGTAACCTAAACACATTTGTACTGAATTTGGAAGTGTATTGTTGAAAGGAGAATTCACTATTGGTGTGTAGTCTTTGGTTACATGCATATAAACACTTGGACCAGACGTAGTAAGAGGCAGAAGATAGGAATATGAGGTAGTTCCTTCTTTTTTCCATCTCAAAGTAAAAGAAGTCTTTGCTAAGCCTTCAAGGTCTAATAGGTCCAAGTCCTTCTTTGAGGAAAAATGATCCCTTTGAGGAAAAACATCGTCATGACGTTTTTACACATATAGTTATTCTTTTATTCAATATAATTTGCTGTTACAATTTTACATCTTAGAAATGCATTTGTGTCTTCTTTAACATCTTACTCAAAATTTAACACTAAAGCCAGGTGCAGTGATATGTACCTGTAGGCCCAACTACTCGGGAGGCTGATGCAGGAGGACCACTTTAGCCCAGATCACACCTGTGAATAGCTACTGCACTCCAGCCTGGGCAACATAGTGAGACATGTACAGTAGCATTTTCTTGGGTAGTTGTTATAGTGGAACAAGTTGATTATAAGGACCTTATATGTAATGCTGGAGCCGGAAGAGTCAGGCAGTGTTATGCTGACCTGACCATATCATTGTTTCCAAGGCTCTAAAGAAGCTTTCTATCCCCGCGTCCACCACACATACACACCAGTATAATTCTCACTTAAATATAAAGCAGAATTACAATGTTAGAACAATAAAAACTGCTTAAGTCATTGGTATGGAAACTCGAAAACTATTCTAAGATGCTTTTCCATATCTGGCTTTAGTCCCCCTACCATGTGTATTACTCATTAACTTGCCGTGAAAAGTTATATTTATTCCGTTAATGAAAGAAGTATGAGTACTCCAATGTCCAAATTAGTGAAACTGCATGACCATTTTTGAATAAGAAATACAGTGCACTGTCGAATTTTAATCATATCCTAATATTTTATTATGGTGAAATGTAATATGATATTGTGTGTCTTATTCATAAAAGACATATTTTACTTTGTGAAAGTCTCTTTGTTTCATAAAACACTGCTTGCCTTGTGCGCCTTTGTCGTACCTGTATGTTCCTCCGCTTTCCAGAACCTACCAGGTAACTGACAAGGGGTTTCAGGCGCATCCCCTCATGGCCAGGTTATGGGAGTTGCCCGATCATTTGCCGAATTCAAGACGTGGAACAGAATGAAAAGAATAATTCGATCTTATTTTCTCTCTTTACAGGCTCTGTACAACTCAATCAAGAACGAGAAGCTTGAGTGGGCAGTGTAAGTACGCTGGATGTCAGCCTTTTAATAATGAACTACTCACTTTTTCCTACAGTCTTTCTTTATGCCATGGATGTGATCTTAGAGAAGGATTAAATATGCATCGTCAGTTCTCATTTTACACCAAGTGTCTTATCTACTTTGTATAAAACCTACATAAACCATGAGCATCCTGTGTTTTTTTTCTTGGTACTCAATATGCTCTTGTTCTGCTTTTAAACTGGTTGCTATGCCTGTAGGCAATTAATTGTCTTTTTAATGTGTCTTTAAAAGATACCATTCTAAAAGAAAATCTGTTGATAAATTTCATATATTCCAAAACCTAATACAAATGATTTTGGTACCATCCAGTTATTTTAATTGTCTCCTTATCATCATAGATCATGGTTTTCCAGTCCTGTTTCCTGTGATACTAATCATACCAGGACATTGACAGATATTAAGCACACATGCACACAAAGTTTTGTGCGTAGATAAGCTTGAGAAATGATGTATTAAATAAAGCTAAAATAATTTTTTTAACTGCAGAACTTACAGGCGCTTATATAACGCCCATGTATGTTGTCAGTCTCTAAGAGAGGAATAGTGTGCAATATTACCTAAATCTAGTTGACAGTGAAATGTAGTGTTTCAAGGTACATACTTTGAGGAATACTGTTACAAATAAATTACACCTAACCCTATGTAGACCAACAGTACTAGTCTTGTTAAACTTTCATTAATCAATATAGCAGTTAAAAATTTAATTTTTAAAATATTGTTAGAGAAGAATCTTTACTAAATTTTTAATCAAGTTATCAAAAACTTAAGTCAAAATGTTTTTTTTTTGAAATTAGTACTACATGCGAATTTTATTTTCGATTTTTCCTGATATGAAGCATTCATAAACTTTTTCTTTTAGCACATGGCCTATCATAGCATTCTGCAGTGAACTCGGGTTTAGAGAATCATAACTTGGGAGATAAATCTTGTTCTTTCATATGCACGTTGGGGAAACATGGTCTAGCAGTTGACTACATATAATCTGGAATGAATTTAAAAAATCAGTACTTCTTGAATTGTTTTTATTAACCGCAAGTTCATACAGTACTATTTTAAGTTAGGGAGTCAACATTTATAAGACTTTAATATTTTCTTGTATGTGTAATGTCTTATGTGTCTGTGTATATACATGATGAGACTCATTTAAAGAAATTTAAATCCCATTTCAAGGGATTATTAAGAATTCATGGTCTAAAATCCAAGTTGATAATTTTTCTTTGGACTTACCTATCATGAATGAAAGTGAGTTTCCTAGAAAAAATTTTGTGGATGATAGAATCTTCCTGAAATGTTAAAGGATTATCCTGACCTGTGCAAAATATGTACTCTAGAGAAAAGTAAGAAAAATGAAATAGTTAATATTCACACTGGGGAAGAGAATATTTTGAGGATTCTTTTATGAAGTTACTTCACAAAGCAAATAAATATACTCTTGAGGACCTGTTTTGTAAATCTAGGTTTTTTTATATTGCATTTGCTACAGTAGATTTAATTACATGTCTATGTGTAGTTGGACTTTGATGCAAGAAAGCTGTATCTTGGGTCTTATCCAAGGAGGGAGGGATGGGAGTTTACCCAGGAACTGGATTCTTCTGTGGCCTTCTTGTGAAGTCAGCAGAGCATCTAGTTCAGGATCCCAGATTTCAAAGTCACATAGATTTTGGGTTGACAAGCTCTTTCTCGTACTATCTGAGTCACTGGTCAAATTAACCTCTAATCCTCCTCTTCAGTAAGATGGAGCAATTATTGAGCCTCTTATAACCCCCAGGATAACACTGTGAAACTGTTCTAAAACACTAAACATTAAGTTATCCTTCAGTTGATGTCTAATGCTGTAGCTTTTAAAGCCCTGACTTCTTTTTTCTTTTTATCTTTGTCTCTCATATGCTTATACATATACATATATATATTATTAATACATTCTAATACTTTATCAAGAATTAGAATAAGGTACTATAGTAGTTTATCATATAATTAACTTTCTTTCTTCATCTATAAAATAAAGGAATTGGATGTAATGACCACAGATATCCTTTCCAGTTCTAATATTCTATAAATTTCCAAATTTTACTATATATTAGTGTTTCCTAAAGTGATTTCCTGTGGAAAGAGCACGACTGTATCTAACATATTTAAAACAAAAAAAATTTATGGGTCGAATGAGTCTTGGAATAAATTCTAATTTAAACAAAATTGAACAGTGTTCTCTGTAACTGGCCTGTTCATTTGTTAACAATCTGATGTGCATTTTGAATTTCTACAGAGAATAAAGGGCCAATACCCCAACTTTTTAGATCACTCAGTCTTAGATTTATCATAAAGCACCTTTTAACATCTATGAAAACTAGTATCCTTTAGAATAGGGGTCCCCAACCTATGGTGAGCAGTATAATTATTTCATTATAT